TAGCAGCAAAAGTACATTGTCAGGAGCGTTCCATCACTCCTGTTCATCTTATGTACAGTCGTCTCTATCTAGATTCCAGGTGCAGGCATGATGCAAGCTTCTTATAAATGCGGAGCATCTTATAGGGGCACTTACTTACAAATCTAGATTCGGCGGTGGTGTCTACACTCTTACTGCGCATACTTGAGTCTCGCGTCTCATGCCAACTCTCGCTACACCCCCCTCTTGCCTCGCAAGGCTGATAATAATAATAATAATAATAATAATAATAATAATAATAATAATAATAATAATAATAATAATAATAATAATAATAATAATAATATATTATTATTATTATTATTATTATTATTATTATTATTATTATTATTATTATTATTATTATTATTATTATTATTATTATTATTATAAACATTCTCAGCTACACGCGTATTGCTGGTAGCTCGTGTTTCAAGAGTAGCGCTTGGGTAACTTCAGGTAAATTTTTTCATTTCAGTTTCATGAGATTGTGTAAATAAATCCACAATTATTTTCAGCATCACGTACACAGCAGAGTGCGTAAATCAAGGTAACCTGCCGACATTCATGATTTATCTGTGTAATCAAGGAAGCTGTTGCACCTTGACAGATTCATTCTTGCCACCACATATTCAAACAATGGCACTTTAAAGCTGTCCCCAGCTTTCGTTGCACTTCAAGTACCAGAGCACAGAGACATAAAATACAAACATGCATGTGCTCGTCAGAAAAAGAAAAAAAAAAGAAAATTTTGCAGTATGGCTTTCTTCTTCCAGCATTGTCACTACTCGTCAAGGCAAAGTACCCAGAATATGCAAGTAGTAGTTATTCTTTTTTTTTTTGCCGAAAAGTATATTTTAGAGGTGCACAAATTAGGTGGCGATGCAAATCAATAGTAAATACAGCAATCCAGGTCGAATCAGATCAAACCAACGCACATCCAAGTCAGTAAATACAGCAGTTCAGGTCAATCTAATTCAATCCAATCGACATTCTAAGTGATGTGGACTAAAGCCGTTATAGTAAAATAGATTATACTTCAGTGGCAGAACCGACCAGGCTCCCATGCCCTCATTACACGGATGCCACGAGATGGCACCACTTTTACGCTTCTTAGCAGCTTCGACTGCGATGTCGGACTATAGCATGCTCCTTCGAACTTTCATCTGCGGTTACTTTTAGCTTTGCTTTCTGGTTCTTCCGAACATCAAACAGCTGACTTGCTCACTGCCTGGCTGAGGGATTTTATTATAGCCAGATATACATGTTTTTTCACATTTACCGCACGCGCTCAGAACATTCTGAGTGCATCTGGTAAATATGTTTACTGATATGGAGCACCTGTTTTTTTGTTACTACTGGACGGTTTGTTTACAGTGCATATAGTTCTCCATGCTGACATGGCTGTTATGAAATTTGATTTTAATCATCATGGAAATCCTGGAAAAGTCAGGGAATTTAGAAATATCAAATTGGTAGACACCCTGAATGACCACGCTATGACTCATATCTTCTGCTGAGATGCCGCAATCTGACCGAATGGAGAACTGTAAACTACAAACTAATCTGCTTCTACTATCGAATTGGCCATGTCTCCCCCTACTGCTACAGAACTTGGACGCCCCAACATTGGAGCCAGTTTTCCTCTTCTTCTCGCCCATACTGGACCCCCTTCGATATTCGCCCAGTTGTGTGTATCCTTCTTTTGACGCACCTAACAGTCGCTCCACCACTCGTTCACCGTTACCTCAATGCCGCTGTTCCCCATCGCCTTAATCATGCCGGCCATTTATGGATCCTCTCAGAAGGAAAACATCATGCAGCTCCTGGAGGTAGTACTGCATCAATCGCGACTGACCCGAATCCTCCGTTGACGCTGTCTACTAATAAGAACTTAATTGAAGTGTATGTGGACGTCTTTCTTTGGTGGCGTTATTCGATACTGGAGCTCAAGTGACCATAATGAGTGCTTATCTGTGTCACCTATTCAAGAATGTCCTCACGCCTGCTGCGACTAAAGCTCTTTGTGTCGCCGATGGCGAAACTGTGGCCGTCACTGGAATGTGTACCGCCCGTGTTAGCATTGCTGGCCGCCATGTTGCCATTTTATTTAATGTGCTCTAAAATTGCCTTTATGACCTCAACTTGGGATGCACTTCCTATCGACGCATTCTGCCCTGATTGACTGTTCCACCAGCACTCTCTGGTTAGAACTTCCTCTTTTTCCAGATTCTCGCCCCGAACTCCCTAACAGCCTCTGTACCACCAACTTCAAAAGCATACTACTTAAAGCTCTTACATTCATTGGATCGGCAATAACCTCTCCCATGGTTAACGGTGATTATATTGCGACGCCTATTCCTGATGATCTGCTGGCCCATGACGTCCCTGCGCCACGCCCCATCGTAACTATGGCCTCTAACCGGACATATCTACCTGTTGTTAATTTCGTTTTTACGAAGCAAGTGATTCCTCAGGGCATCTTGATCTTCATGCTGCGAGCCTTAATAGACAGCCGGTCATGCCGCAACTCCTGGTTACAATATATTTTTTTCTACAGCCTCGCCAATCCAGTGTCTATTCTCTCACGTAATAATAACACTCCTTGAAACTGTCACTCATGTCCTGAGTCATTTTATAATGTTAAACCTCCTTAACCAACCAACCTCTCCTTAAACATCTTTGTAAGACATCTTTCATCTCATTCTGTGGCACAAAATGGACTTGATAGAATGGTGGTATACAGGACTTTGTACAGCAATATAAAGGTTGTGGAAAGGTCTAAAGCAATAAAGGGTGAGCTAGTAGGTCTGCATATCAAGGTATGCTCTGATTAGTTGCATACTTGCTGCAGGTTGTATCTTTGGCTCTACGTGCTCTTTTTTTTTTTTCATTGTTCAATATTCACCTCAGGTGTAGTGTTGCATTAAAATATTGCATTCTCCAACCAGGCTGGGGTGTGTTTTGTATACCTCGCCATCTGTGAATTATTTTTCATTTTTAGCATGTTTGTTGTTACAGTAAATTCACTTTTATGTACCTGTTTATAGCACTTTCAGTTAATTCTTAAAGGGGCCCTCAAACACTTTTGAAGCGCCTATTTTTTTTACAGCAAGAGCTGTTATGAGATGACAAGAAGGGCCAACTCCGGTGCCGCAATTGTCTGCCGTCGGTGTCCATAACCTCTGTCGTGCAAAAGAAAAATCTAACCAATAAAAAATACTGACTATACAACGGGGTTCGAAGCCAGGTCTTCTGCCTGGCAGCCCAGTATTTTACCACTGAGCTGTGCCGGGGCTTGAAACGCCATTGCGAACTGACCCTATACAGGCTTCATGTCGGGTAAGGAATCGCGTTAACGTTTGTAGTAATGCATTTTAGAACAGCAAAGTAACAACCAGGCTTCACACAATGTGAATTGTGTTACGAGTGGGTCTTTGAATTCTCCAACCCATTACAAAAGCATGAAGCATAATTTTTAGTTGTTGTCTGCCACAGCATTAGCAAATTGCACATAATTAATTACAAGTTTATAGCACATATCATATGCTTCTCTGAAGAATTACAAATGGCAAAGTGGATGCTTTTATACTACACAAAAATTAAACTATTTATAGTGAAGTGGGTATCATGTAAGTGTGCTTGCAGTAGTTCGCCCAAGAGTATTTAAAAAGGCTCTAGAAAGGCCGCTTTTCCAGCTTTTGCTGTGTGCTGTGACTGCTGAGCGTTCCGCACAGGCCTGGCTTTTGTGTGTGTGTGCTTTTTTGGCCCCCTGTATATGAAAATAACTAAAAAATAAAATGGGGGTGGCCCCCACCACCATGAGGTATAAAGGGCTCAAGCCAATCGAACTTAAATGAAGAAGGGAAATGTCCCAAAGTAATTCTCGGAAAAAAAATGCAAAAAAAAATAAATGGTGAAATTTAATGAGTTTGGCATGTGAGTGTAAGCAATAAACCGATTGCGTTCTCAGGAATGATATGTGGGGGTTTAACGTCCCAAAACCACCACATGATTATGAGAGACATGGTAGTGGAGGGCTCCAGACATTTCGACTACCTGGGGTTCTTTAACGCACACCCAAATCTGAGCACACGGGCCTACAGCATTTTCGCCTCCATCGAAAATGCAGCCGCCGCGACCTGCGAGTCAGCAGCCGAGTACCTTAGCCACTGGACCACTGCAGCGGGCAGTTTTCAGGAACGAGCAGGTCGAAATGTACCAGCGGTGTATTTCCCCAAGTTCAGTGTTTGGGGTTCATGCGTGTGAGCATGTGTCTGTATGTTTATTTAAAATGCGTTGCTGTTGAATGCGGGAAAGTCCAAACATGACGGTGAGGTGTGATGCAAGCGGAGGACGAGGTAAACGTTTATGAGGATGGCAACAGTAGTCACCAGGAGCAGGGTAGCTGGGCATGTTGGGTTGTCATTCCAACCAGTGATGCAACAGGACAAAAGAATATCTGGATCCGAGTGTGTGTGTGCATGTGCGTGCGTGCATGCATGTGTTGTGTAGATTGATGGTTGGAGATAATTTTAGCATAGGTCTAAGCATCGATATGAATTGACTTAGCATTTTAATCACGCAGTAAGGTCTCTAACGTGCTGCTGACTGCATCAATGTGTAGTGGTGCTGAACAGCAGTATGTGGGCAGTGCGGTCCTTTGATTGAATAAATGTAATGCTGGAAGTGATTGTGGTGTGGTTCCAAAACTGTGATTACTTTTGGGTTTCCTTTTTCTGTGCTTTTTCATTCAACTTGAAAAGATGTTGCAGCAACATCAAAAAAAGATAACTAAAAGCATGACAGAGGCACTTGCTGCTATTTCGCTTCTATATTTCTTGCTTGTGCGAATTAATTTTTTTTGGTCGAATAATATCTGCTCACTAGGCTATTCTGTTCTCTAAAAACCTCCTTGCTATTAAAGATTTGATTATCTGCTTTGCAAATGCATGGGCTGTAGTGAATGTTGTTGTTTCCAGCCGCCTGAGCAACTGATAGGAATTCTCCAGCCAGAGCTGGTGATGACCGAGTATGGACCTTTGTACCAACGATTGCAGACCCTTGATCATCTGTCAGTGGCCTACTATCCTGATGACCAGCTGTACGAAGAGTCACTGCACATCCTTCTGGTCAGTTGAAATGAAATCTCTATTTACTAAGTTCCATTGAGTCTGCTGCACTTCATCTGTGCAGTGTCATCAGACAGCCTGTGCAAGCTATTAATGCAAGCTTGCTGGCCTTTCACCACACATCAAAACATCACAACGCATGTTTAATCATCTCTCCTATTCTGCAATTGTGGTGGGAGTGTTAGAATACTAAGAAGTAGTGGGACAACCACCTCTATCTGTGGCACTTTAATGAACAAGCCTGTGTATGTTGTGGTCTGTGACTGCATCCACAACTGCTGCTTTTTTCAAATTATTGGGAGTGATGGCCTGCAACCCTGGGAAATTATTCAGTTCGTACTACTTAAAGCAGCTGTCACTTATTTTACAAAACCATTGAAGGGGTGCTTAAGAGCATTAATGACTTGGTTTAGACTGATTAACTGTACTATGAGAACTTAATGCCATAGGTGTTACTGTCATCAGTTCATTATTAGATGATAAAATCAAGATTGAAGTATCTTTTTTTTTTTGCCCAGAAATTCTCATGCGTAATGTCACTAGTTTCAAAGTGTATTTTTCGTATTTTTGCAAGATTGCTTCGAAATTTTCTAAAACTTTGTATGCTAGGTCTGTGGCACCCACGGAGGACAATGTACTTCATTTTTATCGATTAGAAGCTACGTAGGACCCAGTAGACGTCTTTAAAACCTTTGGGACGTTCAGCGTGGAATGACCCATTGCAAAATTTGATGATTCAGGAGCACTGAGGCGTTATCTGTTATTTGACAGCGAAAGGTGTTAAACTGGCCACCACTCAACATCAGATTGTGACCGTATTCGGAAAAGACTGCGTCTCTGACAAGTCCTTCTGCAAATGGAGTGTCCGTTTTCCAGCTGCCCGTAAGAGCTTGGTGGATGACCCGTGGCCAACCAAACTTGGTCATCACATGCGATCTCATTAACAAGGTGGACGAATTAGTCAAAAGCAATCAGTGTGTCACATTGTGAATGTTAGTTGGAAAAAAGTTTTCAAAAAAAAAAGAAAGAAAAAGAACCCAGCAAAAACCATGCCGAAATGGTAGCGCTTCAAACCTTGCGACGAACTTGAGGACATTGTGAAGGAGTGGGAATTCTGGAAACAAATGATCGTTCGGCTCGTTCATTGATGGGATTGTAGTGCACAGGTGTATGCTGTATACTTTGAATAAAGTCTTCATTTATACCCACACTGTTATTTCATTCTTTTTCACTTGAACACCCCTTGTATCATTTGAGTCAGGTGCATGCATGCTGATCAGTAATGTTTGAATTACCAGTGAGTGTCAATTTCAAGGTTGAAATAGCAAATCAGTTGAGATATATGCACTGTAGTGCTGTACTTCATTATGCTTTTGAAGAAATCATGCTTACTGCAATTACCTTGTTCATTGTTTAAGGGGAGGTGTTGCTTAAAATATGCGAATTTTATCCAACGTTAAATTTGTTTTGGTTCTTGCTTTCACGTGTTTAGTTTTTCTACTTTTAAGACGAAAAAAAATCAAGGTTGTAATGAAGCTCAAAGTAGGTTGAAATCGTTCTTAAAGAGCACAAGGTGGCTTGACTATTAAACAAGAATGAGTTGATTGTCTGGGGTCTCCCGGAAATTGTCACTTACTGCATGCTATTGCATTTCGCATGAGGAGTTCTGTTCACCAAAGCCAATTCGTCAAAGTAACCATGATTCCCAAGCTTTATCTTTGCCACACAGATGAGCTTTCGTTTCCGCATTTAAAATGAGTTTTTGCTAAGCTGAAATTGCGGGCTTCTTAAAGGGGAACTCCTGTGAATTTTCATTCATACTGAGGTAATGCTGTTTTCTAATAGTATTGACAGTCCAGCAAAAGCTAGGGTGGTTGATTTTGCCCAGGCACTCGACAATAATTTTAATTAGGCAAAAAACGAGTCAAAACAGAAATCAAAGCAGGGAGCACCTCTGTCGTCCATGGTGGGTATCCGATGACGTCGCAAGAATACGTTGCCGATGACGCAAAGAGATTCTCTACACCCCGCCACGGCTGGCCAAGGTGTAAACATAGCTCACGTGCCTCGATCTTCTGATGTGCAAAAATTGGCGATGTCATCCGACGCAGAATCAAGCTTTGCCGCTCGTCTGAACTTTCCAGTGACAAGTTCAGGGATGATTGCAGCTACCATCTGAGCGCGGGAGCATTGATTTTGACCCTCCGGCGCCTGGAGCATCTGACATGCGAATTTCTCATTGCTCAATATTGTAAGACCCAACGTCAACGACTACTAACACGCTGTATGGAGCTGAGAAAACTTAACTGTGCTCGCGTTGTTGCCACCTCGTAGGAGAAAGCGTGCGCTGCATCCGTCTGCTGGGAAAGGCAGGGTTTTTGAAGAAAGAGTAGGCCCTGACGTCATATACACAGGGTGGCCCACGTTTAGAAGTGTGATTCCAGAATCAGCTACCAATTTTAAAATTTGTTTTCTAAAAAAACAAAGTGACTTATGGTTGTATAATTTGGCACATATCGCCACGGTACCAACGTCAACACATGTTGAAATTTTTATTGAAATCTGTGAATATAAAAAAAACGCCGGAGTTGCTCTTTAAGGTTAGACGACGTGTTCTTGGTACTTCTGATGACCACATTGGGATGAAATTTTGCCACATATTTCTTAACATAAGCAGGGAAATTATTCCCTTTAAAATCTCATGTCACCTATATAATTATTATGAACCTAAGGTGAGCAATTAGTATGGGCCAAGCATTTTAGGACTTCTCACATTACAATTGTTCTAGCTCATTAAAATGTCTTATGCCCACTTTCTTGTCAGTCTTATTAGTTACAGTGGAATCTCGATGATACGAATTCGTTGGGAGCACACCACATATTTGTACCATCTCGAATTCGTATAAACCAAAAGAAGTTAAAGCTGAACTTGAAGATGAATAAGAACATTATTGGGGTCAACTAGTTATTGCTGAAAATCTCATCATGTTTCTTGAACTTTTCTGTTTTTGCTGTCTCAAGAAAGGTGCCTGCAGGGGATAAAACTGTGCAACTGTTTCCTTACTCATGTTGCTGTTGCTTAAGGCGTGTCCACTGGTTGTGCCATTTTCACTCTCTTCGAGGCCAAGTGTGAAGAGGCAAAACTCACTTCTCTGCCTACGCAGCTGAAAAACTGCACCGCGAAGTCCGCATTAAAAAATCGGCCTCTCACAGCCAAGCTGCGTTGCACTGCGCGTGTGCAGCGGCCAATCGTGGGTTCGTATAATGTGCAATGACTGGGGAAACCCTTCGTGTAACACCGAATCGTGGCACATTCTATACAATATAGTCTGTCTGAAACAACCTTAATATTTGTATCATCATGACATTCGGATCAACCGTAATGATATCATCGAGATTCTATTGTATTTGCATTCTACAGTTAATGTTGAGCAATATGAGTCGATAATGGCTCACACTCACACGTTTTGTAAAAAAAAAGTGCATCCAAAAAGAGTTTCATTTTCCACATTGTCATGGGAAAAGTTGATGCCAATTAGGGGGGAGGGGTCATTACGCTGGAGAAAAAAAGTGAAGGAAGTTATAACAGCAAAAATTTTGCATGACGACATTAAAAACTTCCTGTCTGACCACTGCACTGCCTTTCCAATTCAGTGGCAGGACTCAAGAGCTTCTTTTCAAGAACTTCGGTCTCCACAATGGAAACTGCTGTTGTTTTGGCCCGTGAAATTTGCGACGAACCTGTTTGTGCTCGAAGCTGTACACAAGCTATCCGCACCGCATGTGCCAAGATGCCTACCGTATGCAAACGGAAAGTTAATGCGCTATTACAGGCAATGAGAACGAATTGATGCTGAAAGTGTTCTCTAGCCGCTCGGTTCCCATGTTCTAGCGCATTCTTGACCAACTTTTAAGTTTAAAACCGGCTGTGTTACTAGCGTACCGGCCGATTTTCAACAAAAACGCAGCGTCGCATAGGGGTGCATGCACGTTGCGGGTGCTAGCGAGTGCATCTCATGCTGTCACAGTGGGCGTGGTTGCGGTTTGTTTTTTGCTTTGTTTTTGCACTGCTGTGCTTGCGTAGCGCTGTAAGCAGAAGGTTTCTTCTGTGTTTGATAGATGGCGCTCTGCTGCGAAAGGCGTGACTTTTGTATTTCGATCGTCGTTAACACTCGTGCTGCTCTCAACTGTTTAGCATGGTTGTTAATCTAAATTTATTGCATTTTTATTTTGTGATATAATGGCATGATTTAACATTGTTTTGATTGTCAACTGCACTGGCAATCACACCAAAATAAAATGCAGATACATAAAAACATCTTTTTTTTTTCTAGAACCAAGGAGTTGGGGGATGGGTTCATTATGCGAGTGGGTTCACTTTACATGTAAATATGGTATAAAACTGATTACATATTTGAAGTCAGCATAATGTAACTATGTAACTTGAAGTACTAATCTATGGGCACGTTAGTGGTTCATTATACTGACAACAGTGCAGCAAGAGACCAAAGATAGGAAGAAACACCGACGAGTTGAACATACAACTGAAGTTTATTTCCAAAACAAAGCAGAATATAGAGAAAAATGACTTGTGAACAAAAGATTGCAAACGAATATTTGCAAAAAATTGAAATGAGGAATTGGCCTACGTAACTTTCGGCGGTTATGCGGGCGGGACAAATCGACGGGATACTCGGCATAGTTATAGTCAAGTCTCCAATTTGCTACCTCAATTATTGGCACGTTACAATGGGAACCAAATTGCCCTACCACTCAGCACCTTTAAGCACGGGTTTGCACTCGGGAGTGTCACACGTGCTGCAATGAAAGGCTATGTCATCATCATCATCATCGTCATCATCAGCCTGACTATGTCCACTGCAGGACAAAGGCCTCTCCCATGTTCCACCAGTTAACCCGGTCCTGTACTTGCTGCTGCCAATTTATACCCACAAACCTCTTAATCTCATCTGCCCACCTAACCTTCTGTCTCCCCCTTACCCGCTTTCCTTCTCTGGGAATCCAGTTAGTTACCCTTAACGACCAGTGGTTATCCTGTCTACGCGCTACATGCCCAGCCCATGTCCATTTCTTCTTCTTGATTTCAGCTATGATATCTTTAACTCCCGTTTGAAAGGCTAAGTACCCGCAGTTTATTGGGCTACCTATTACTGTGTTCACGCGTGATAATTGAGGCAGCAGGAATTTGGGGAAGACGAGCAAGTGTTGGCGTGGAGATGGGACAAGCAACTGTTGATGCCTCGAGTGGCAAAAAATGCGAAGATGCATATGATATAGATCATGTGACCTTTTACTGGTGTACACAGTAAATTGCATCAATATTAGGTTTGAAACACAGTGCACATTTTTTATTATTATATTTTTTCTAACTTAAAATGTGCAGATTTACTTTTATTTGTATGAGCACAACAGTGGTGCCACCTTTGCTTGATGTATGACAGATACTCATGAGCGGCAGCATGAAAAGTATTTGTTGAGGGACTAGTGGCACGGGCCGACCAGTTGTAGAAGCATCACAAGCACCTGGCTTTTTGAGGCATCAAAGGTATTTCATGCGAGAACAAGCATTCACACTTTTTATACGCTCAAACCTCATGATAACAAAGCTGCATCTTACACGAAAATAAGTTTGTTATATCCAAAAACTTGTTATAAAAGTATTTTCCTAACCCTATATTTATTGCTAGACTATTTTTCATATACTTTGTTATAACCGATATTTTGTTATATCCAGTCTTGTTATATCGAGGTTTGAGTGTATTAAAAGACTGATGGCAACAAACCAGAGTTGCACTCGCTCCTGTGAAAGTAGAACTCTAAGTGTAATGAGTTGCATTGAGGGCTATCGATGCCAGTGTCGCTTTTCAGCATTGCTGGATAACATTTTTAGGGGCTTCTCAGATCTAACCATTTATGCACATGCTTTTTAATCAACCACTGCAGGTTTAAATACTACTAAAGAGGAGCTTTTTTTCGTCGTGCCATAAAAAGTGGGTAGAAAAAATCAGTTGCGAGTGCCTTTAATGAAAACAAACAAAACATTGATTCAAATTTCTTAAGTCTCTTAATGTCCTTACAAAGATTTGCTTCATAATTTATTGCTTCATGATGCGAAAGGTGGATGCATAATCTGAACTCTTCTCTCGCACAGGCTCTTCAGCAAAAACTCCAGTACCACGCTCATTTGAGCACATCCATGGATATTGTCGATGGCTCATATTCAAGTCGTCCTGCAGCCATTACGAGGCTGTTGGTGGAGCTTAATGGGATTGAGGTAAAAGGCTTAATTCAGTTTTTGAATAGCTGCAGACAACTTTAAAAAAAGAAGGTGTTTCTTTCTTATCTCGGCAAAAAAACACAATAAAGCCCTTGAAAACACATGCAAGCTCTTCTATTTCTCTCTCTATTCCCTTCCCAAGTTTGGCTCTTTTTTTCTTCAGGGTCATAGATTGTAATCTGACAATGAATTTTAGTGAGCAAGGGTAGCTTGCCTATTACTGGTTTTAACTTTGAAGGCTATTGCATAGACTTTTTTTTTTTTTGTTCTCAGAAGTCTTGTATAAAATGCCAATATAGTAAAACTTGTTAAATTAGGCAGTACATTGGTTTATTCAAATGCCTTGATATGGTTTTCTGCTACATAAAAAGGTAAAATTATGGCTGTGACAGTGATATCAGTTCTAACTGTGCAGAAAAGCTAGGACACATCCTGCTTATGTGGGTCATTATAGTTTGTTTTATGCCTGCCATTGTAGAGGGCACATCAATGGCCACATGCCTTAAAGACTGTACGGTTGCTAGCCATGATCAAATTCATAGCTGCTTTGGATTTCTCTGCATTATTTTTGGCCATCAGAGCAAACTGTGGTTTTGTAATGATTTGGTGCATGTTGGCTGCATGCCTTCAGCTTTGTATAGTTTCTTACTATAATCACATCGGCAGCCACAGTTTTGTCCAACTCCAATAGCTGCATGTCTTTAGAACCATGTGGTTGCTATCTACGATACACAGTAAACTTCCTTTAAGACAAACTCTGTTAAGACGAGCGACACGGGAGTCTTTGTTTGGTTTCCCATAGACTGAATGAAAAAAAAATGTGCTTATGATGACCCCCGAACTATCACTGATACGAACTATCACAGCAACCAACAATAATGAGATTCTGCGCAACAAACATTATGAAGGCATTCAGGCGAACAAGAAAAAGCATAATGAAAAAAAAATCCTGGCACAAAGACTAAATGTAAATCAAAAGCGAATTGCTATGTGGAGGGACAAAGTGAGATATGTGAAAAAGAAAGGTCAGCGCATAAAGCTGGTATCTCCCTCACTCCTACCTTGTAAGTGGAGAAAGGGTCAGCTTTATCAGCAAAGAAAGCAACGAAAGGCATTTGTCCTTGCGTATTCTAATTGCATTCAGTTCCCCAACAGCAGTATAGTAGGGAACAGAAGAACACAAGAGCATACCTGCCAAGTCTCCCGGATTGTCCGGGGGACTCCCGGATTTGGACCGTTTCTTTCGTTTCTACGGTTGTCGTGAAAGTTTCCTGGAAATCGAAATTTCTGTTCATGATATGGCCTTCATTGACAAAAATGCAGGTCAATCTGCTCCAGGCTTATTGTGAACCCACTGCATCTTATTACAAATGAATTTAGGAGGCATTTGTCTAAACGTACAGTAGAAAATAAGTGATGCGAAACCGCGGCAAATACGAATTCTTGAAATTTTCCAGCCAAATTTCACTGTGTCCATTGGGTCAAAACTCGAATATTTCAAACACTTTTCCTAATCATGGTGAGTAATATTAACTTTAGTACCGAAACAGTCGAATGAAAGCAGAAAGCAGTGTGCTTGAAGCTTCGGAAGTACGTGTACAACCAGCGCACACACTGTCTTCTACAGTGCATGTGGTTGTCATTGCCACAACCGCTGTGGATAAAACCACACTCATTCTTGACACAATCATGTATGGCGACGATGTAACTTACAGAATTCTGAAAGTGTGCACGCGTCCAACGCTCGACCAGTCAAAGTAATACTGCTTTCCGCAAACTCTGTGGACAAAGCCGCGGCAGATGCGATCATAGATAGCATAAAACGACTAAGTTTTGAAGGCGTAGCCAGTGCACGTGGATTAAAAACTGAACTACCATTTGCTGCACCTGCCGCACACAAAACCGAGGTTGCAGTGACGCGATAGCAATCTACGAGCTCTGAGGGCACGTGGCTAACGCAGGGGTAGATTAAAGGCAGTAAAGACGTAAAAAAGGCTAGAAGCGTTTTGGTGTTCCTGTCCAAAGAATCTACCAGTGAGCAAAGCTTTTGACCTGCGCTTTTGCGCAGCCAGCTGTGCGGTCTATTTCGTTCACATGTGTCCCAAGAAGACATGGGAGTTGTTTTGACAGAAATAAATTTCGCTAGTTGTTTTGATGATGCAATGTTTCGGGAGTATTTGCATTCGCCCTTTGAGATTCACCTTCTTGGGAAACCCTACCTGCGTGTGTTTGGCCACTCCAAGCCATTATAACACCACAACACCGATGCTTGCGATTTAGACCCCTGTCCTGCTCTTGTTTTTCGCTATGTTTTGTTTCTTTTGGTGCCAAAAAAACACGGGGGAAAGTCATTTATTGCGACACCCCCCCCCCCCCCCCCATTGCAGAAATCGCTTGTATTCAGAATCCTTAAACATGGCAGGTATGCAAGAGCTTTCTAGAGGTGAAAAATGCAAGAGAAGGGGGAAAAGCCAAATAAAAGTGAAAACGGGAACAAAGATTTGTCTGCACTTTATAATCACTTGAAAGGGAAACCACATATGCAGCACTAGCACTTCCATCAGAGAAGTCGGATGCATTGTCATAGCTGCCACACAATGGTGCCTGAGCACTTCTGGTCACTTTGCATTGTTTTGCATAGGGCCTGTGTATGTCGTGTCTGTTCCCAGTGAAATGCAGCAAATTGTAATGTGCCATTTTCATTATGAAAGTGCATGACAAAGAAAGGTTATTTTTCACACTAAATATAGCTGCTGCATTTTTTTTTTGTGTGTGTGTGCCTGAGACTTGTGGTCGTGAGAAGCGTAAACGGAGATCTTCAGCTGCATGTCGTTCAGGAAAAGTTACTGCAGCATGAAAATAAGATAAATTTCTGAACCTCAAAGAAAAGCTTGCAGACTTTCATAAGCAACTTAACATGAATTGGCTTTGTCAAGGTAGTGGTATGTAATGGAGCCATATCCAAAAGTGATAGAAAAGCCAGTAAAACAGCCTATTGGAAGAACAGTCAGAAAAATAAATTTTCTATTCTTTAAAAAAAAATTTTGCTTGTCTCTCTTTTTTATTTATTTCTGATTGTCAAAATAAGGTCGTGCTATAGTTTTATTGTTAAAACGCGGTTGCAGTTTTTATGAGCATATTTATTGTGAACTCGCAAAATCAAGCACTCGTTAGATTAGTCTAATTTAATACTCTACTCGAAAGTATAGTTTTTATCAAGCTGAACCAAATAACTGCTTTCTTTTGTTTCTATTCTTCCTATTATAAGTATACCTCATTCATTTTTTTCAAGCAACATATTTGGGTGTACTTGGCGTGTTAGCATATCGTTTTTGTGGGCACTTCCGATAAGACGAATAAGTGATCATGGTCCTTTCTAGTTCATCCTAAAGAGAGTCTACTGTATTGATAAGTCACTTTTTTGTTCCAACTGAGTACAACAAACACTCATTGTTTCAAATGTCACCATTGCTCTCATGTTGAAGGTGTAAAATAATTATACTACAGTAAATGCCTTTTAAATGAAACCTGAAAGGACCAGGAAAATGTGTTTCCTTTAAGAGAAGTTTCGTTTACTGAGAGATAGACAGGAGTATAATATTCAAGTACAAACCAAACACATTAGTGGCAGCTGCTCTATTTACGCAGCAATTTCATTTAAGAGAATTTCGTTTAATAGGAGTCTACTGTACGTGGTTTCGTGGTCTGGCAAAGTTGCATGAAAAAAAAAAAAAAAAAGGTGTTTGCTCAGTATCTTTCCATCATTTCACTTCACCTCTCTGATCTTGTTAATAATACAAAGTGAGTGGGCATACTGGGCTGTTTGATGTACTGCGTTGCTTAGCTGAGTAGTTTTTGACTTCTACTGTTTTCATGTTGCAGATCTTGCTGCGTATCATTATGCAGTACAGCCTGCTTCCTAGAGAGAGTGCCATCAAGCATGGTATGGAACTTGAAACCTAATGTGCGATGTAGATAAACAACTTCACTTTCAGTGAACATGTAGTTGACATGACCAACTATATTCATTCTATCTTTGCAGTGAAGGATCCTCGTTACCTCATTATACAGAGCCATTGTGTTGAACTTCTACATAGGCTCTGTGTAGATGTAAGTATGCTCATGATTAAGAACTTCTTATGCTGCAGAGCTGTTCAGAGCTTTTTCACCGAGTCTAAACCCTTGTTTTCATGGTGCTTTACATTTGCAGGATGCAAATACAGCACGGGCATTATCTGAGAAAGAAGCACTTTTTCAAGGCCTCCTCTCCTTGCTGCAGTTCAGTGAAACTTGCTTAGTGGCATGCGACCTCATAGAATGTCTTTTGCTTTCACGGCGAGAAGTTCTGAATCTTACCGCCATATGTAAGTATATCTTTTGTCTGTCCACTATTCTCAATTGACGCACGGCCCAGTATTGGTGTAGCTTTAAAACTTAACGCTTCCAACCGCCACCTATAAAGAGCTGTCTGTAAATGCTAAATTGATACAAATTATTTGAAAGAATTCAGTAGTTTGCAATAAATATAATGTCATAATATATTAATAAATGTGTTTTATAGTCACTAATCCTAATGAGGTTAAAATTAAATTGCTTCATAAGTCATTGATGCTCTGTTATGGTGCAACTAGAATGAAATCTCCAGATAGAAATATTGTGCAAGTGCATTTTTTGGTTATGTCCATTTTTTAGCAGAGAAAAATACTTTCACATAGCTCACAGGAAGCGGCACATCAAACGAATCGTTGAACGTAGTAGAGCCTTCAGCAAAGTGATCGTATGAAGCAGTGCACTGCAAAATGAAGTTAAAAGAAGGCAAATTTATTATAGAGAAGGCTCAATTAATCGAAAGCTCAATTTATATCGCTCCTTCTTAGACCCTAGTTAATACAAATAGCAAAAAGCAAATGGTGCACACATTTGTGTGCAGCTGCAGTTATGTCTGTGTAGAACATGCGAGCAGCTGGTTTTTGCTCTGCGGGGCGAAACCTTGAGGCAGTGTCGGGCTTTGACGTGGTCAGCCTGACAACTAGGTCACGCATGCTCCTAATGGACCACTTCAAAGCCAGAAACTGCCTCGAGGTTTCGCTCGCAGAGCAATAACCGGCTGCTTGTGCACTCTGCACAGATGTGGCCGTGGCTGAACATAGGTCAAGGGTTAACCTTAGATACCTTCAAACAGCTGTGGTAGCTTAGCATGTAAGGTGTTCGGCTGCTAAGCTCAAGAGTGCGGGGTTCGATTCCTGGCCATAATGACTGCATTTCCGGAATTCGGCCATTTCACCCGCATCGAAATGCGGCTGCATTTTGATGGGGGTGAAGTGCAAAAAAAAACTTGTGCTTACATTTGGGTCCACTTTAAAAGACACCAAATGGTAGAAATTTATCTGGAGTCCCCCGCTACGGGGTGCCTAAAGCTTGTGGTTTGGACACTTAAAACGAGAGTATTTGACTTTCTTCTGTTATCCATCAATTTGTATTGGTCTTACCTTACCTTAGGGCATAAAAAACACAGCATATTTGGTTATTGAAAACATACAGATTGGATGTATTTAATACACAAATGTGCCGGCCAAAAGGGCGTATAAACAAGGTCTGATATTTTTTTACACAGCCCAAACAAGCTTGCCAATTCGTACAATAGACCGCAGTGATCACATTTTCCAAATATTACAGTGCTGCGCGCTATTCAGACTCTCTGTTTGGAAAACCATTCCCGTGCTTCTTTCCTTCTGACCGATCTCCCTCATACGCACAGTGACACAAGCTTGCCCGTTGACAACTTGATGTACTACTGAGCTCGTTGATGGGTTATTTGCCCCATAAAATGATGCTGTGGCCCTGCAGTGATATAGTTTCGGCTGTGCAGTCCACTTTCATTTTCTTGTGCTGCCCTGGTGCTGTATTGTAGAGCCCAAGACTTCTGGGGGAAGAAGTATTGCTAGAATGAAAGCCCCTGAGATAAAGAGACGTCTGGCTACTTTAACGCCAGGAGAAGGTGCTCCTTTCATCGCGCCTTCTTCCCATGCCGCTATGACACGTGCTCAAGTGGGGAAGCCCTGCTCAGCCGTTGGTTGCATGCTGCTGACGTCACGTTGCCAAAGTGGGGGCAAAGTTATGGCGATGGGCCATGCCTTCCCCCTCCTTATGGCGGAGAAGGGGGGCAAAGCCACGCAAAAATTTTAAACAGGCTGAAACAAATGTTATAACACCTGTAACTTTCTTATTATAACACATATTCGAAAAATTCTTGCAGCAGCATGTTCACATAGCAAAAGTGCACATATTTCTCTTCATTAGAATTTTTGGACCTCTGGGCTTTTTACTGGCCTTTTAATATAAAATGGCTAAACATGCAAATACAGCTAAAAATATTAAACAGAAGCAAGCATGCCCATGCCAGCTTTAGGAGAAGCTTACAGTAAGAGCCACAGTCAAGCTCGCTCACATACATGAATACATTTTCATAAAGCGCACTAGCTGCAGTGTCACTAATAAAGGCGTGTAAGTTTAGTTGTCCAGTGCAAAAATGCAATAATGCCACCAGGATTGTACTGGGCTTAAAAAAAGGGCTAAGGGAAAAGAAAAAGAAAAGATCAAGCTTTGAGATGAAAACATGGTGCACTCATTTAGCATTGATATGAGATGGAAGATCGCATGGCGATGTTAATTCTGCATGGATAGATGAAGTCAATGCTGCTGGTAATAAAGCTAGCCTCCTGGCAATGTCACTAGCACTATTACCTATATCTCCTCTATGTACCAATGTGAATAATATGTGGTGAAATGCTCTCTACACAGAACCCTACAACATCAAAGGTGTAACCAAAATTTCTAATGGGGCTTTGTAGGTGAAATGGTGTGATATGGGCAGGTGCATGTGCAACCTGGGTAGTGCTATGTATATATGTGACGTATGAAGTGATGGTCGGTAGAAGCTGAGAAGGAAGAAGTGAGAATGGAATAAACATGGCATATGAGCCAGGCCACGTCTCCCGCATCATAGCGTCTCACGAGTCGACAGGATGAAGACCTGGCGGCCACTTCATCAACCAGCCACCATCTCCGAACGTCTCAGCAAGACGCAGTGACAGAACGTGGCCCACGAAAGTGCATCCCAACACTACACCAAGACCAGCATTATGACAGCACCATCAGACAACCTTCCCATCCCTAAGTACACCGGAGCAGCGGACGATGGACCTGTACAGGACTGGTTCAACCTGTTCGAGCACCACGCAACCGCTGCATCATGGTCGGAACGGGAGATGGTTACGAACTTCTGCGACTACGTCACTGGTGAGGCATTTAAATTTTACCTTATTCACATATTCGAGAGTGATGAGTCATGGTAAAAAATCAAAGTGGAGATGATTACCCGTTTTAATGACTATAACCAAGACTTACTCATTGCCAACCATCTAGAGACAACTGCACACTATCGTCAATTTCCTAAGCAGTCCTCAAGCATTCGAAAGTCCAGCGCGAATCGACAAGTGCCTCAAGACGAAGTGGCACATGCGTTTACTTACAGAAGGCCATGCATACATTGGGAAAAACCCAACCGTCAAGGACGTCTCCCTTGTACACGAAAGTCGGCCCATGCATACATTGGGAAAAACCCAACCGTCAAGGACGTCTCCCTTGTACACGAAAGTCGGCATTTCCGAAGTCATCGCTTCAGCATATGACACGAGACGTTGCTGAACCACCTGATGCCCTGCACTCTTGGTCTCGCATACGTGGTCCACCACCTGGGTTTTCGTCACGCGGTTCTTCAAGCACTCCTAACGCTCACCATTTACCTTACAAGAACACCGTATTCATGGCAGATGACCTGGTGCATTGGAAAAATACTCTGCCAAGCCATTCTTCTTCCGTACGGTTTCATGTATCACCGTCCGGTGCACACACCCCCGAGAGTCCAAACAAAACAGAAGGCTCGAACGCATCGAACGTCGCACGCTACCAGGCGTAAGAACTACTCGCAGTGAACAGCGAAAAAGAAGCCCCTGAAGAGCTTCGTGTCATTTCTACGGCACCACAGACTTGCCAAAATCTGGAGTTCAAACCTAGTAATGCCATGTCACCTGCCATGTCGCCTCCGTCGGGACGTGAAACTGCGAATTTCGCCATTATTTTGTTTATTTTGTTTTCAATTTGTTGTTGTAACCGGTGCCAGCTTTCGGGGGGAGGGGGAATCGTGTGACGTATGAAGTGATGGTTGGTAGAAGCTGAGAAGGAATAAGTGAGAATGGAATAAACATGGCGTATGAGCCAGCCCACGTCTCCCGCATCATAGCGTCACAGCTGCCCATTTTTTTATGCGCGACCATCGGCTGATGAAGCGCCTGTTCCGGGCCTCCTTGTGTCCTTGCGCCTGTTCCGGGTCTCCTTGATTCCTGGAACAGCCTAGCAGAAGACAGCTGCACAGGACTGTTCATTGCAGGCATGCACATATTCTCATTTAGGATGACTGCCAGTTTGGCATGTTATACCGGTATAAGCTCATGATGAAACAAGTGCTTACTAGCAACTGAAAATAAAAATTTTCAGTTTGCTAGCAAGCGCTCGTCCTGTGCCCTTTCTGAGTGTTCATACTTTTTGTTGCTTGTTTTATCATGCACATATTGTCGTTGATTTTGCTGCTGCTCTCTGTTAATTGATGCTTACAGACTGGGCAGTCGACGCTCGCTCATTCAGGTTTAAAAAATGGGTGGCTGTACTTTGAAATAACCAGCTGTAGTGGCTCAATGGCTACATTCTGCATCCAATCATGTCATTGTCATTACCAGCTTTGATAGTCATAGTATTCTGGTAGGGCTCAAATGCTGATAATCTCTGTTTACTATGTTCAGCTGCATGTTGAAGGATCCCAGCTGGTCAGAATTATTTCAGAGCCTTTAATTACCTATGTTGATCATTTCCTCAGTGTTGCTTTGTGTCAAATCTAAATGGTCACTGAGTCAGCCAGGTTATTCCTCGAACAGTGCTTACAGGGTGACTCCATGTAAGATCAAACAAGGCATGGCTGGTCGGCCTCTTAAATTACTGTCAAGATTTTATACATATTGTTGCCTCATCAGTGGAAAGAAATGTGCAGTTGGTTTTACCGTAAAAAATTTTTTCGAAGCACAGTAAATCAATAATGACAAAGAGGTGGAGTGCCACGCTTACCGGCTTTGGTGTCTTTTTTTCGAATTTGATGATGAACTACACAAAATATAATAATGCTATGTACCTCGAAATTCTTTCGTTAAATATAGACGTACTTGTGCTTAGGTTAAATTATAGTTAGAATCTATGCATAGTGTAGATTTTTAAATAAAAATCCTGAAGTTCAACCTAAAAACGTTTTTTTTTGCTTAGTTTGCAGGCCTTTTTTTTTTTTTTCAGAAAAGGCCCATGAAAGAGCGGTTAAAGTTTCGCATAACTTTATCAGCATGCTTATTTATAAAACTGCCAAAGTTTATATTGATAGCACTTTTCAATCAAAAGATATATTTGCGCTAACTTTAAGGAAAGAGCATGCATTCAAAACTTCTGATGACGATTAAAAAAACATTTTTGATATTTTTTTATACTTTCCTCACTTATTCTCCTGCAAATCATCTCTCACTACCAATGAAAACATGTTGCATTGTATGGTTTCACTTACAGTTACGGCCCGTCAAAAAAATGCCTTTGTGCAAGGATAGGCAATGGTAGATTGGACTTCCTGCCCGCTAAGTATGGAATGCAGGCCTATACTTCAGTTTCTTAAACGGCAAGCAGCACTGAAATAGCTGTTGACCACGCCAATTTCGAAATTGGTTTGGTAATTGGAGCGGCCGTGAGTGCGGGATTAACGAGCAAGAAAGCACACACAGTCCGGCGTGTTCCGGGGCAAAGAGGGCTTGTATTCGTGTTCTCAGACGGATAGGTTGCGATACACATACCAGCCAAGTCTCCCGGATTGGCCGGGAGACTTCGGGATCAGGACTGTTTTTTTTCGTTTGTACGGTTGTCATGAAAATCTCCTTTGAAATCAAAATTTCTGTGCGTGATCTGGCCGCATTGACAAACAAGCAGCTCAATCTGCTCCAGGCTTTTTGAACCTACCACATTTTATTATAAATTAATTTAATAGGTGTTCATGTAAACGTACAGTAGAATCTCAGTGATGCGAAACCGCTTTCCTAATTGTGGCAGGTGATACAAAATTTAGTACAAAATTTAGTACGGAAACCGTCAAACGAAGGCCGAAAGCAGTGTACTCGAAGCTTCGGAAGTATGCATCAGATTTAACAAAAAGTGCTTTGTCTTCTACAGTGTGTGTGATTGTCGTTGCCACAGCTGCTGTGGACGAAACGGCGGTCCTTCTTGACAAGTATGTATGGCGACGACGTAACTCACAAAACCCCGAAAGTGTGCGTGCGTCCAACGCTCAACCAGTCAAAGCAACGCTGCTTTCCGCAAACTCTTTGGTCAAAAAACCGCAGCAGATGTGATCGTAAATGGCATAAACTGACTTAGTTTTGCAGGCAAGTGCACGGGGATTAAAAAGGGAACTCAGATCATCTGGACGGAAGCGCTTTCAGTGTCAAAAAAAATATTTGGATTATTGTACGCTAATCACAGTTCCGAAAAGCACTGTTGCGTGTTCTCAAGCATACCGGACTGATCCTCTGTCTGTGATATCAAACGCATTTGCCACAACCGATAGCAATCTACTAGCTCTGAAAGCACGCGGCTAATTCAAGGCTAGATAAAAGGTAGTTAAATACATAAGAATAAAAAATCCAGACACGTTTGGCGTTCCTGTCAAAAGAATCTAGTAGTGAGCAAAGCTTTGACCAGCACTAGTGTGGCAGTCAGCTGCGCTGTCCCGTCCATTCACGTATGTTCCAGGAAGACATACGCCATTTGTTTTGCCAAAAATAGATTCTGCTAGTTGTGTTGATTTTTTGTGACTCATCCTAGTGGAAAACCCTACCCTCGTGTGTTTGGCCACTCCAAGGCACTATAAGACCACAACGCTGATGTTAGCACTTGCGATTGAGACCCACCCCCTCTTATTTTTGTGATGTTTTTATTTGTTTGTTTGTACTCGGATATTTTATTGGTGCCGAAAGAAATAGGGTCAAATAATAAAAAATAAAAATAACTCGCAGCTGCTAGCCCGCAGGTTGTGGGATCGAATCCCGGCTGCGGCGGCTGCATTTTCTATGGAGGCAAAAATGCTTTAGGCTCTTGTGCTCAGATTTGGGCGCATGTTAAAGAACCCCAGGTGGTCAAAATTTCTGGAGCCCTCTACTACGGCCTCTCTCATAGTTATATGGTGGTTTTGGGATGTTAAACTTCACATATCAATCATTATATATTGACACATGTGCAGTAAACCTTCAGAGAAAATCAATTTTAGACAAAGGACTACTTTACTATAAATTTCCTCTAGTTTCAGCCCAAATGCGTGCATCTTGAGCAGCATTCCTTTGAGCATAATATAGCTTGCTCCGCTTATAGCAAACTAGGGTGGTGGCTCCAATGACAGAGGCTGTGAAGTGGGGTCAGGTATTTCCTTATAAAGTTTGCAGCCATTGCTAGCATATACGAAAGAGGATGAGGAGGGCAAAATCCATAGCTGACACAACGGAGGGATCTAAGCTTTGATGGAAGAAACCTGAACCTGGTTCCCTCAATGCCAGCGTTTCCTTTTCGTCCTTGCTGTGGTCATGTTCGGAGCCAAGCGGCCCTGAATGCAGCCATATTTATTTTTGCTGCTACAATCACTCTGCTTGTGATCCAACAAGTGTTGCTGCTGAATATTTTGTTTCACTTTTTTTTTGTAGCCAACATAACCAGTCTGATCGCCAACTTGAGTGACATTCAACTGGCCAATTTCTGCAAAATTCTGGCTATAAGCTTGTCAGACCTGGATGTGTATGAGCACAAAACGTCACGTGAGTTGTTTTTTCATAATGCATGTGTGATGTAATACTTGTGTTACATGGGCACTCTTCAGAGGCCATCCAGTCTTTGGCGATTATAACGCCACAACCCTATCGTCTTGATAGAATTGTTACACTGCAACACAGTTTTTTCAAAAGGCCGTTAAGTGGTTACAAGTAGCAAAAATTACTTGAATAAATAATTTATATTGTACCTATATACTGCTTTTTTGAAGTATACTGGTTAAATTTTTTTTTACCAATGAGTATGAGCACAGTGGGAACAACAGGGCATGGTCAGTGCGTCTGCTTTCATTGCTCATTGGATCTCAAAGTTTTGATGAAGTTGTGGGGTACTCCATTGGCTCGACAGAGTATTGACTTCGTGGCCTTTGAAAAGTCTCGTGTAGCAGCCCATGCTTAACCACTGAGTCAAAGACTATGGTTGGCATGTGTGACGCAAAGAAAAGTCTTTTGTTAAATCTTGTGAGCAAATCACGGTGATGACCTATTATATCCCCTGACATCAAATCAATGTGCTGTTCACAACTATTTCTGTCACAGTGATACTGTTCAGTGAAGCAGTAGCTTTTGTAGAAGGAAAATGATTTCTCTTTTCATATGAAATAATAGTGCTTTGAATGCATATCGCAATGCAAAGCTAGGTATTCAGTCGTTGTAGTAGACGGACTGACAGCAAGATCGAAGTACGATGCCACTCTGAGAAATAAATTTCTTAGTTTGCTCTGTTTGACTATTTTTAAGATGTGTAAATTTAGCCCAGCTGTGGTGGTCTAGTGGTTAAAGATACTAGGCTGATGACCCACAAGTCGCGGTATTGAATCCCGGCTGTGGCGACTGCATTTCGGAGGTGAAAATGCTATAGGCCCATGTGCTCAGATTTGAGTGCACGTTAAAGAAATCCAGGTGGTCGAAATTTCCGAAGCCCTCCACTACGGTGCCTCTCATAATTATATGGTGTTTTTTTTTTCCAATTCAATTTGTTTATTTCAGACATATATACAAGAGAAATATGTCCACAAGGTAAGGCAAAAGGAGACTCGTATGTCTCCTGAGGAGGCCTTTACACGTTAAACCCCACAGATCAATCAGGATGTGTAAATTTAAGGGCTGTTTTTTTTTTGTTAGACAGAATATTTTATTCTGGTAGTTCTCAATAATATTGTCTTTATGATAGCACTTTACTGATGTTTGCATACATGTAAAGAGACCCTAAAACATCCTGATGCCGAAATTTAGTTGTGGTGTTTCAGTTGTGCAAGAGTGCAATAAACATTCATCTGCAAAAATATTTTGAAATGGTGCTGTAATGATGGAGTCATGCAGGTTTGATGATTGAAATGTGGCCCTCGCCAAGTGCTCGTTTTAGTCATGCTATGAGCAACACAATGAAGGAAAGCAGAGAGGAGTGCACGTATCTGCTAGCAGGCTTATTCTTGTTCAATCAACTGATACCGTCTGCTGCTTGTGACATTGCAGATGCGCTATGGTAACGGCAGATGTTAATGAGGGTGACCAGAAAGGCCCAAAGAATTGCTTTTATATTTCATACGTGCAGTGCATAGCATTCAGGCATTTGGAATTGTTCATAGTAACGGCATTCTGAATTTTATGTCATTTGTTTACTTGAAATGTTTAGAAAATATGGAAAGTGGTTTAGGGTCCCTTTTAAAAATATTTAGCAACATTATTTTAATCTTTTTCTTGAAAGATGTCTGATTTGTCTTGTTTTGTGTATAGCATTATGCTTTGGAATTGGGCTTGTCAACAATATTGTTATGCAATGAATTACACTCAATCCTCATCATAATGAAGTTGGACCTATTATGAAAATACTTTGGGTAGGGGGGAAGAGGGAGAGAGACAGTATCTAGTCGGAGCAGCTAGAAGACGACTACGACGAAGAGCTGAGCTCGTGACAGTGACTGACGCCCCTTAAACTAGGCAGTTTGTTGTAGTCAATAAACCTCCTTATAATTTCGTGAAAGTGCTGGGTTAGTCTTCGAAGCTGGAACTACGAAGTCGCACCTTACTTCCATTGCTAGCAATGCTAGAAGAACCCTCCACCCAAGGTACCTCCGAAGTTCCCGCCTCTACATGTCCTGGTGTGTGGCCATTGCGTCATCCACCGATCTTCAGCGGCACTGACGGTCAAGACGTTGAAGAGTGGCTGGCTTCTTACCACAAGTTGAACGCAGCAGAACAAGTGGGACGATGCGGCTAAGCTGACTTATGTAAGCTTTTACTTGTCTGGTGTCGCTAGTCTCTGGTTGCGCAATCACGAAGCCGACATTGCCAGCTGGGATTCGTTCAAGACCTCCTTTTCGCAAGTCTTCGACCGCCCTGCTGTGCAAAAACTCCGTGCAGAATGACGACTTCGTGAGCGCACTCAACAGCCAGGAGAGACCTTTACCAGCTACATTGAAGACGTTGTTGACTTGTGCAAGCGGGTAAAAACCCAGCGATGCTCGAAGCCAACAAAATCAAACAAATCCTCAAGGGCATATGCGATGACATATTTCAAATGTTGTTAGCCAAGGATCCACAAACCATAGTCGATCTCGTCAGCTTATGCCAGAGTTTTGACGAATTTGGCAAGCAACGCGCCCAAACATGGCGCGCTCTGGAATAACGTGACTCGATCGCGGCCTCGACTCTCAGAGACCAGAATGACATGTTGGCTCGCATAAAGCAGTTCGTGCGTGAGGAGGTCGCTTGGCAGCTCTCCATTTTATCGAGCACGCCCGAACCAGCTTGAACGCATCCTCTGTCCTTGGCCATAAGGCATGTCATACAAGATGAGGTAGCTGACGCTTTGCCTTTCGCTCGTTCACCATCTCTGGAGGCTGCACCCTTGACGTATGCGCAAGTCGTTGCAGTCAGAGCACCTCGACAGCCCACTTATGCTACCTCACCGGTCCCTGTTTGGTCATCACCGGCTCCGTTCAGCCGGCCAATCGTGTTGTTTCCTAATCTGTGGCGCACCGCAGACAACTGCCCGATTTGCTATTCTTACGATTACGGCGGACATGTGGCTCGCTAGTGCCGCCGTCGCCCTCTCATTCACAGCAACACCATGCAAAGATCGTCGCACGACTCTGCGTTTTAACGACACAGCACGTCAACAAAGATCCTTTTCACCCGACCCTTCCCCCCCCTCCGTCAGTCACCGATCTTCATCTCCCCGACGTCACTCCCTGTCACCTACGCGCCGTCGACCCTGCCCTTCAGACACGGGAAACTAGATGCCGCAGTTCCCGAGGCACGAACTGTGTTGTTGTTGATAGAATCAAGTACCCACATTTCTGCGACAAACCTCATCGACGTTTTTGTGGATGGTTACCGTACCCTTGCGCTTGTGGACACTGGTGCTGCCGTTTCAGTAATTGATTTAAAACTTTGCGGCCTGCTTCGAATGGTTACCACGACACCAAAGAGATTGTCTCTCCGTATTGCCAGTGCTCACCATATTCGACCATCAGCGGCCAGTACTGCGTTCTCATCCAAAATGTTTTCTATACCGTTGAATTTCTTGTGCTACAGGCGTGTTCTCATGATGTGATCCTCGACTGGGATTTTCTGTCTCCTAATCATGCGGTTATCGATTGTGCTCGTGCTGAAGTGGCCTTCTCTGCGTTGTGTGCCTCGTTTCCGGAACTTGCGTTGAACAAGCTGTTTGTCGCCGACGACATCGACATAACGACTAGCGCAGCCTTTGTTCCCGTGTCTTGTGCTGATGTGTCTTCCTGCAGGGCTGTTTACGCCTTCCCAAACATTCCAACGTCGCAAGAGCCTCGCGTTGCCGTTTGCTGTCCTAGATATTTCAGCGGGCGCTACCAATTTGTTTGTCACAAATCCCTTGCCATCTCCCACAACCTTGCGTCACAGAGAATGTATTGGATCGTTTCAAGATTTAGCCGTTTCCTCCATCTTCGGCCTTGATGGTGAAAGTGATTTGCAGCTTAATGCACTGACACCATCTGCCTATTCACCTGTTCATGAAAACATTAATTTGTTTGGCTAACTTGAAGAACCACACCGCGAGAAGCTTCTAAAACTTCTTCACCAGTTTCGCGGCTTGTTCGATTGCCAGCAGATGTCCTTAGGCCGAACGCACACCGTTGTCCATCACATTAACACTGCCTTCCAAGCACCTCTGCGACAGCGTCCCTACAGTGTATCTCCTGTTGAACGTCGTGTGATCACCGAGCAAGTGGCCGACATGTTTCAACGTGGCGTCATTTGGCTGTCCAGCAGTCCCTGGTCTTCAGCTGTGGTACTTGTGAGGAAGAAAGACTGCTCGATTCGCTTCTGCGTCTATTACCGCCATTTAAACAAAGTTACGCTTAAAGACGTATACCCTTTGCGGTGCACCGATGATGCCCTGGAGTGCTTGCAAGGCGCTAAATTCTTCGCATCACTAGACCTACGGTGCGGTTATTGGCAGGTCCCCATGGCACCATCCAATCGCCTAAAAACTGCTTTTGTGACGCCCGATGGGCTGTATGAATTTAATGTAATGCCCTTCGGCCTTTGTAATGCACCAGAAACATTCGAAAGAATGATGGATAGCGTCTTGCGTGGGCTAAAATGGAAGACATGCCTATGTTACTTGGTTGATGTCGTCGTTTTCTCCCCTGATTTCGACAGCCACCTCCATCATCTCAGTGAAGTCTTGAGCTGCCTCACGAGCGCAGGCCTTCAACTAAACATCAAGAAGTGCCACTTTGGAGCTTGGAAGCTCACAATACTTGGCTACGTTGTCTCAAAACATGGCGTTCTTCCAGACCCACAGAAGCTTCATGCTGTCGCTGAGTTCCCGAAGCCTATGACCGTAAAAGCGCTTCGCAGCTTCGTGGAACTATGCTCATACTTTCGCCGCTTTATGAAGAACTTTGCTTCGATAATCGCACCACTGATGCAGCTGATCACTGGCTATGGACACCTCTCTGATTGGTCGCCAGCATGCGATGATGCTTTTGCAACATTAC